ATATATATATATATATATATATATATATATATATATATATATATATATATATATATATATATATATATTAGGGCGGGTTAAAAAAATCAATTATATTTTTTTTACAAGTGCTACGGAAAAATGGGTTGCTAGACACCTTAAAAAAATTCTCACCAAATATGAGCTTTTAATTTTAATAAGAAAATCCTCCGCATCGCAGTTTTTAATTTTTTTCTCAGTCCAATAGAATAAAATTCATACCTCATCATTAATTGATTGTACAGAAAAATGTTCTGGAAGAATTTTGTAGGAAATTTAATGCTCTACAAAAAAGATATCTTATATTTTTTCCGTAAACCTCACCATTTGAATGATATTGAAGATTTAAGTTTGATTGTTTTTCATTTTTTTTTATTTTCTAGAAAAAAAACTGTGTCTAAATCTGCGATTATCCCCGCCAGTCCCAGAGTAAACTGAGTTAGTTTCCTATTTTTTTTATTTAATTAAAAAAAATTTTTAATTAATTTTTAAATTAAACAATTTTACAATATTATATACTTAATTTATAGTCTCAAAATACAAAGTTTTTCAAAAAAAAAAGTCAACCTTTCGTTTTTTGCTGTAAGAATATGATGAAATTATTACGTCATTTTTAAGTCAGAACATATGACTTAATATTGAGGTCATAAATAAAGTCACCATTCCGTCATATGTACGAAAAAATTTGAAGATGACTTTATGACATACGTATGACATCATTTTAAGGTCTTGTGTTCACTGGGATATTATTATATTTTATATTTTATATTTTTATATTTTTTATATTTTAATGATTATAATAAATAATAAAATGAATCTTTATAATTTCAATTACTGTAATATTGAATTTATATAGTAATAATTTTAATATATATGTATATAAATAATTATTATATTAATTTAAATATTTTCTTTTCAGCTTTGAACTAATACAAAATAACTATGTAACATTCCCTTAATATGTACGATTGCAAATATTAAAATTTGCTGATTTTAGTTAATGTTACGACAACAACTATAAGGGCTACTTTTTAAAAATTATTTACATTTTTTAATTCTTTGATTAGTACTTGTAACACGTAGTGAAAAGCTTTCAATTTAACATAGAAATAAAATTTTCAGTGAAACTCCCATCTACATCTCAGTCTACCCAGTGGTCTTTTCCCGATCGGTATATCGACCAGTATTTTATGGTCCGTTCGATCCTCCCCCATGCGCGCCACGTGATCTGCCCATATAAATTGGCGTGATTTTACGACGTTAATGATGTCCGGTTTGTTGTACAATCGATATACTTCTACATTATGAAGTTTTCTCCATTCGCCCGTTTCCTCATCGCGTTTTGCACCGAAGATTTTACGAAGAACTTTATTTTCGGAAACCCTAAATTTCTTTTCACCCCGTAAAATAAGTGACTACGTTTCGCTACCATAGAGGACTTTCGGTAGGACCCACATAACACGATAATTTTTGAAATCTTTCAGCGAAAGTTTCGTAAAATATTTCCAAAAAATCTTTTAAAAACCTTGCAGGCATCATTCTAAAATATTTTGAAAAAGATTCATAAAAGATTTTACAAAAATATTTTTAAAACATTTCTAAAATATTTTACTGATAGAGTAATCTTTTGCAAGTCTCTGAACGCGGACATTTTCAACTTGTAGAAAGATTTTTTAGAAACCTTTTTGAAAGGTTTAAAGCTTTTCAAGAAATGTTTTAGAAAGTTTTTAGAAAGTTTTTATGTTATGTGGGGATGATCGTCCTGCATATTCTAATTTTTAAGCGCTTAGACAGCAGACGCGAGCTGAGTAATTTATTGACCGAATAAAAGCATGCATTGCCTAAATTGATCGATATTAACACTTAGCCGACCACTCGGGGAGATTTCCCCGTTTCAATGTAGATCGGTGCCCAACCGATCGGGGAGATCTCCCCGTTTCAATGTATATCGGTGCCCGACCGATCGGGGAGATCTCCCATATTGACCTTAGCAACGCGTTTTTTTTCGTTTATTTATCTATATAGTGTACGAAAAAAAACTAGTATTCAGTTCTTTTCGTTACATTTTATATTCTGGAAAGGAAAACTCTATTCAGAAACTAAAGGGAAAGTTTAGGAGGGCCATAAAACCGTAAACAAACCTAAGAATTATCGGGATATATTGGTATTTTGTATAAACAATATGTGAAATCGTTAAATAAAATTGTTACCCCAAGATATAATTGACACTTAAATAATTTTCAAACTACTTTGATTTCAAATACCGCATATCAGTACGCGTCACTTGCGAAAAATGCGTGGTGGACAGCGTAGTTTTGGTTGCTCGAGCGTGGTGGAAACCGTACAGTTCGCTGCGGCGCGCGTGGTCGGCTAAGTGTTATTTAATAAAAACTAAAATCTAAGCATCATGGATATAAGTATACATACGCAAATAGCTTTTCCTTGTCCCACACATTTTCAGCTGGCATATACTTTGATATAAGCATGTCTGGATGAGAATCAAGGTGGATAAAAATATTTCCATTAAACGGAAGGTGTCTAGATCCTATGCACCGATAAATGAATGGTAAAACCTAATAAAAGAATAATTAAAAGTTATTTAATTACATTAACTATTAAAGAATATGTCAGATTAATATATTACTCACAGTAATTTCTATACACATATATTTACGTTCCACTTAACATATTATTTAATGGATATATAATATTATAATTATATTATATGCACACACACACATTTAAAATAAATAAGATGTAAAATGTATATTATATAAACTAATAAAATTAATCATTCATATTATTTCATATAAAACTT